AATTACAACACAGTTATTTTAATTCATAAAAGCTTTGAATTTTTTGTTAAAGTAGTTTTTCATTTAAATCAGACCTTTACAATTTCAGATGATATCAATAAAATCTATTTAAATCATTAATATAGATTTAATTTTGACGACTCCTAAATTTTTATTAGTTCATATTAAAGTGCATTTATAGCATAAGAAGAATAAACTCTATACTGCTATTCATATCTATATACCTAAATTAAAGCCCTTGAGATTAATTTTGAAAAGAAAATTAACTATTTAGTGCAAAATGAAGATAATTTATACATCTATTTTGAGAACTGTATGATTATGATTGTTAAATTCTCAACTTTTAGTTTTCAAGAAAAATTTCAAACACATGAATTGAATTGTACAACCTTATCAAAAAGCAATGTATTTAATATTTAAATTTAACCTTCATAAATTGATATTCTGAGAAAGAATTCTTATACTTAAAGTTTAAGATTTAAAAGAATTGTTAGAGTGCAGTTATTTGTAACATATAAAAGGCTTATCATATTTGAATTAGCTGATAATACTCTTCTAATTAAACTTTATCAAGAAAAAAATAATTAATATTAATATTTATACACATTTCTAACCTATAACAACACCATTGATTATCCATTAAAATATAAAATATTTAATTATCTGTTTGCCATTTTTGCTCATAATGAATAGATGGATTAATATATTTTAATATATGATTTACGTAACGAAGCTTTAAATTCAATGATTTCAGCTATCTAGGTCGATGAACAATGCCGAATTTTTAACTTCCTTTCATCTTCATTATTTATTTATGTATATAAAAATGAACTAAGAATGTATTTTTTAGACTCAGTCAATATATTAGTCAAATCCAATCAATTTATATCAAATTTGAATTTTTATTGTTTCACTACCAACATCATGCTCAAATTTGATCCTAAGTATGTAGTGAATAATTATTCAATTACTTTAAATTTGAGCTTCCTCAATCACAATTAAAGGTTATAACTTCTTACAGGTAATTAACTTAATTATTTCATTGATAATTCATAAAAAATACTGCCATTAAATTAAGTATTTGGGAAGATAATCTCTGTAACTTATATTAATANTAAGAAGAATAAACTCTATACTGCTATTCATATCTATATACCTAAATTAAAGCCCTTGAGATTAATTTTGAAAAGAAAATTAACTATTTAGTGCAAAATGAAGATAATTTATACATCTATTTTGAGAACTGTATGATTATGATTGTTAAATTCTCAACTTTTAGTTTTCAAGAAAAATTTCAAACACATGAATTGAATTGTACAACCTTATCAAAAAGCAATGTATTTAATATTTAAATTTAACCTTCATAAATTGATATTCTGAGAAAGAATTCTTATACTTAAAGTTTAAGATTTAAAAGAATTGTTAGAGTGCAGTTATTTGTAACATATAAAAGGCTTATCATATTTGAATTAGCTGATAATACTCTTCTAATTAAACTTTATCAAGAAAAAAATAATTAATATTAATATTTATACACATTTCTAACCTATAACAACACCATTGATTATCCATTAAAATATAAAATATTTAATTATCTGTTTGCCATTTTTGCTCATAATGAATAGATGGATTAATATATTTTAATATATGATTTACGTAACGAAGCTTTAAATTCAATGATTTCAGCTATCTAGGTCGATGAACAATGCCGAATTTTTAACTTCCTTTCATCTTCATTATTTATTTATGTATATAAAAATGAACTAAGAATGTATTTTTTAGACTCAGTCAATATATTAGTCAAATCCAATCAATTTATATCAAATTTGAATTTTTATTGTTTCACTACCAACATCATGCTCAAATTTGATCCTAAGTATGTAGTGAATAATTATTCAATTACTTTAAATTTGAGCTTCCTCAATCACAATTAAAGGTTATAACTTCTTACAGGTAATTAACTTAATTATTTCATTGATAATTCATAAAAAATACTGCCATTAAATTAAGTATTTGGGAAGATAATCTCTGTAACTTATATTAATAGAGATACATACTCTACTTTGACATCTTATACCCTATAAGAGTATTAAGAGTGCGAATTTTTCAAATAGAAAACTTGTATTCTAGATAATAACAAAATTATTTTAGATTCTTTTGATAAACGAATCAATTTGCAGCATAATCGTTAGGAAATTATTCGCTCATTCACACTATTTAAAACTCAATTTAATACCTTTGTATATACAATAGATGAACTCAAGGAATTGAAATTATATAATTATAATCTAGAAGGATAATTAATCGATTAAATTAAAATTCAACCACAAATACATTATCATTAGATTAATCTGAATTCTATTTAGGCAGTGGGAAATTTCATCTTATTTGATAGTACAGAAGAAAAGTTATCGAAATGGTTATTTTTAATTTAGGATAAATAGATCTAATTGTTTCAAATTAATGGCTTACATGAATTTCATTTTATCTCAATTCACATTATTCCAAATTTTTACTTTATAGCAGCTAGTGAGATTTTGAATGAGGGCATTTTGAAATTTTTCTTCTTATCCTATCAGTTTGATATCATAACATAAAACAATATATCAATTAATAAAATTATACCTATAGATTCAATAGATCAATATACAAGATTCTCAGAGTTAGAATTTGTTTAGGAGAATAATAGCTTCAAATATGATCTAATAGTATGCACAAAAAACTCTCATTGCTTCTATTTATAATTCTAATTTGATTTTCAATTTAATTTTTTGGAATCACAAGTTCTTAAAATTTTAAGATATGCAAGTTAATTCCATATAAAGAATATTGAATTTGCTAGTTCGAAATATATTATTTTGAGTTTTGAAGAAGTCAAAGGGATGAACTAAATTTATTATATTGATTAATAGAATAAGTTCATAATAGACAGTCATCAACAATTTGAATAATAAGATTATCAGATTGAAAAATATAATGATACCTATTTTACTGCCTTTAGACACAACCCTAATTTTGAGGTCAAATTATTCTAACTTCACCAATTTTATATACCTTGTTATCATGTATGTGATGATTCATAAGTAAATATATTGCTTGAGAATTAAGTAAATCAATTAAATATAACCTATCAGAGCCTTATCTAAAAAGGAAATTAACCATTATCATTATAAAATTAGTTATAGTTATTAATTATTGTTATAACAGAAATTACACTATTCTTATATTTATACAGAGCGTAGAAAAAATCTAAAAAATGATGAATTATTAAGAATTTTAATAATAAATTCATTTNGTTTATCGTGCTTTTCCAATTTGGCTTTGATTCTTTATGAAAACCCTTTTGAAAATAAAAAGATCCTAATTTAAACAGCCATTCCAGACATGTGCATATTCATAATTATTTTCTTGACTGTTGTCTTAGCTATTCATGATGTTAGCTAGATATTAACATTTGATGAAAAGTATATGTTAGGCTGGATTATTCTATTTTTCATAGGCTTCTCTATATTTGTACAACTAATTTTCCTGTTTAAGCAATTTTATGAGGATATGAAAGAAAGATATAATTCAATAAAAGAATTTATTAGGAAAAAATAAGAACAGAGCAAAGGATGATTTGTAAAATTATTTAAATGTATTTAAATTTTATATTAGAACTTTCATTTATTTTATTTTAAACAATTACATTCTTACCTAATGATAAGTGACATTTGATTAATTTAGATTTGTGCTTTTAGGAATTAAATTTTAGCTACATTAATTTTATATAAAATAATGGAGCATTAAAATGTTTTTAAATATTTAAAGTAAAATAAGTGACGAAAATAGCTGTTCATTCTATTTATCCTAAGGTTTTGTTTTATGATTATTATTTATTTTAATGTCTAAAATGGTTTTCTTAATTGAGTCATTGACTTTATATTAAAATTATTTTTTTTTCTATTCAATTAAAGTGAACTATAAAGGACAAGGTTGTAAGAGTGGAAGTATCATTCAAAACCTATTAATCGAAAAATCAGAATTGAACTTTAGGAACATGTCTCGAAAGTAATTTAAATTCATCAATCACTATTTAATTGTATTTTAATAGAAACAAAATGTACATTTAAATTTTATAAATAACCATCGATACTTATTTTAAATTAGTAATAGAATTAAAGGGCTATTTAGGTTAATGATTTAGAAATAATTTCAATATTTTAAATTTAAATGGACAATAATTAAACACTAATATGTTCAGAACATCAAATGCAAGTGCAATTGATTGTTTTAAATAAATAATTGACAAAGTAATAGAGACTATTGTGCCAGTAGTGTATCAACAATATGGAGGGAAATTATAGGTTTATTGGATATGATAAATTTAAATAATATGTAGATGATATTCAACATGAAAAGAATCAAATAATTGATAAAGTAGTCAATAAAAAATTAGAAATAATTGAAATAATTTAGAACTAAGTTGATTAATCAAAATCTGAGTAAATTCAAAAATTTGATCTCCTGCAATCTTAGATTAACATTTGGAAAGAAAATTTAAATAAAACAAAAGCGATATATTAATAATCGAATTATTATTAAAATGTTGATTTATTTTTGGAAAACGGTTTACAATATCTGTAAATAAACCAATTACAATTCTACACAGAATTGAGGGAGACTCTAATCGCTCTTCAACAAAATTATTAACCAAAGATAATTCTATTGCTTAATCAGCTTATTGAAATTCCAAAATTACTCTAAGCAAATTATGGCATTTTTGAAGCTCTCTAGAATGAGGAAATATCAAACTTAAAAGTGGATAAACTATCGACTAAAGTAGAAATTAAATAAATGAATGAGGTTTAGGCTTAAGATGAATGGTGTTATGCAATTCAATTTGATAAAAAAGGAGAAAAAATGATATCTACTTCTTCCAAAGATATAAAAGTCTGGAGCTTTAATCAAGGCAAATTTCAATTAATATAAAAATTGAAAGGACATCTAGATAATGTAACGTGTTTACTATTCGCTCCATAATCTGATTGCATCATCTCAGGCTCATAGGATCAAACCCTAATGTGCTGGAGTATGAATGATAAAAATTAATATATATCCTAATTTACAGTCAAGTAGCATAGTGGGAAAGTTTATTGCATTATTTTAAATCAATTTGGAGATGAACTTATCTCTTCAAGCAAAGATAAATCAATTAAAATCTGGAAATTTGATCCAGTTGGCAAAAATTTACAGATTTAATAATCATTAAAAAAACATAATGATTCTGTGTACTCGGTTTGTTTAAATTAGTCAGAAACTTTATTAGCCTCTTGTGGACAGGATCAATAAATTATAATTTGGAAAAGAGACGAATAAAGTAAATGGCAATTCAATTAGGTTGTTACTTAATCAATCCAAGATTTTGGTAAGAAATTTCTATTTCTAAATGATGATTAATTATTATGGATGACATCTAGTTAATATAATAACTGTATCTAGGTCTATGAATCCAAAAATGGAGTATTCCTGGAAAATGAGGAAAAGACAATTTCTCTAAACGGAACTTCACAATAGGACTATGTCTCATTTCCAATACAATATAGCAGGGAAAAAACTTGCTGATTGTGAGACATAAATCAATTATTTATTTATTGAGATAATCTTTTGAAGGAAAATTTGTAATTTTTAGCAAAATACCCTGCTAGGATAATAAATAGTTATGGGGCTCTATCACCTCTGCGGGTATTACAAGAAATAAAAAACTAATGGATAGTATTAGGTAATTGAATTCATATATTAATGATTTTGATTACTATAACTTTTTCAGAGTGAAGAAAAGTTTTATATTTGCAAAAAGTTTATTTCAATCTAAACATTTCATAAAAGTTTCATTATCATCTCTTGGATCTCTGGCTTTTATTATTGTATTTATGATGTTATATATTCATTTTTATTTTTATTAATAAAATAAATAATAGCATCTATCTTCTTATTTCTTATACTCACTAAAAATATATGAAACTCTATTAATATAGATTATTTCTGAAAATTAAATATCAACAGCGAAATATTATAGATATAAAAATAATTGTTAAAACCACTACTAATCAAAATGGAACAATAATTTTGTATAAAATCCAGTTTACATTAGTGAAAAAGTTGAAAAAATTTTTGGTAGAATGATTATAGATAGTAATTATATTTTATCCAATCTAAAAATATTTCACAATATATTTTATTTGTTAACACTTTTATTATAAAAATATACAAATTATATTTAGTAAATCAGTTGCTAAATATTTAGTTTTTAATTCATCTAAACTTAATTGCATTAAAATTTGGCAAAAAAATTCTCATTTCCCAGAATAACTCTATATATTTGTAACAACTTAATCATTCAACTAAATGTGAAATAAAGGTTTGGCATCTAAAATGATTTAAATACTTGTTTTCATAAGTAAAAAATCTACATTATATGATCTTAAAATGCATAAAATGAAAATTTGTGCGCTCAGATTTTAAGGATTACAATTTCAAACGGAAGATAGAGTTACTATAGCAGAATGCTGCTTTTTGGATCAACTAATATCTTATCTTTTTTAAACTCTTGAAGTGTCTTAAAATCAATTTTAAACATCATTCCAAATAAGAAATCTATTCAATTACATTTTTAATTCAACCTAGTCTTGGCTTGAAAAAAAAAAATTATAATGGCGTAAAGTTCAACTATACCTTTGATTTCATAATTTTCCAACCTGTAAGTTGTTTAAAGAGTTCAGAATATATATAGAATCGTATTTTACTAAATATGTATAACATTTAATTGATACCTTAGTTTATTAGAAGACTTTTCTTTTTGTATTTAGATAATTTATTTATTAGTATTACTTACTTTGTATAGTGAAGCTAAAATACAGAGATTGATTGATCTTTGAATTTGATAGGATCTAAGTTCATTCGCTATAATACCTATTTAATATCTATACATTTTAATTGAGCATGACTTTTTAAGCATGAAATTTGTAAACATCTACATTTATGACTATTTTAAGGAATAATTCTTCCACTAAATTATGACAATTATAATTCTCAACCTAATTCAAATACCACGTTTATAAATATTTTTAAATTGTTAATAGATCTTGATGAGTTGGAATTGAAAGAAATTTAAAGAAACTCTCTAAATTTTTCTTAGAATTAATATAGCTAAGATTTACATAAGCTGCTTCTTAAAACATTCTGCAAAATAGGAGCTGATGCTCTTATTAAACGTGAACTTTCTGTTTCAAAAGTAACTAGAGTTTGTAAGGGATCAGAAGATCTATGAGATTGGTGATGAGAGATCATTAAAGATGCAGCATAGAAAGATTCCTCACTAGAAACGGATCTTAATCAAAAAGGAAAAACCTTTAAGCTTTGTTGAAACTATGAGACTTGTTGGTTGTTTAATATTTATCAAAATTGTCAGGAATGAAACTTTGAAAAGGCTTCTATTTGAAATAGGAGATCTAGATGGAAAAGGATTAGAAATAAAAGTAAGCTGATAGGATGGGTTCTGCTTAATGACTATTATTTATGTACTTGAGAAACATGAAAATTTTATTTTGTTAGTAAAAATTCAACAGGTATTAAATTGCTTATATTTGTTTATAAATAGAATTACAACAGAAAATATTAAATTAGTGTTCAAATTATTGGCACGTGAATCATATAATTTCTAATTTAAAACAGATTGTTACTATTGAATAGAATGCAAAGAGAGGATTAGTAGTTGAAATTATATGATAAAGGAAGATTGATTTGTGGGGCTATCACTTTTACATTCAAATTTGATTAAGGTTTTGAATTGAAATAATATTAAAACTCATGCTTGATACAAGATCATACTATAGAATATGAAGGTTGCAAATTTTTAGCACTTCCAACCGACCTGAACATTGAGTATTGTTATACTATAGATGAAAAAGAAGAAATCAAATTGGATGTCAAGGATTATTAATTGGATGATATTTCTGACTTTGAAGAATAGTAAACATGGAATGAATCTAAAACTTCTTCTTAATTTTTTATTCCTTATTTCACTACTAGTCCAGATAATCGATATATATTTATATGTGTTGTTGTTGAGCTTATAGAAAGGATTGAAACTTAACGAATAATCATAATTGATACATTCAATCCCAATATCAAAAAGGTGTTTTTTAGGACTTCTTTTATGGGATACTAAAAACCATAATTTTCTAAGGATGGCAATTTAGCTTTCATCAATATTACAAAAAATGTGGAGTAATCAAGATTCTTAATATTTAATCTTAAAAATGGAATATAAGAAGTAAAGATCATTAAATTGCATCGTTCAGTTAGAAAAATAGATTATGATGTCGAATCTGGTTGTTTGTTTTATATAACTAATTATTGTAAAATACACCAATCCCCTTTGAATTAAGATGGCACTATTGATAAGTCAAAGAAAACAATCTATAAAATTAATTTGGGACCATTCGATTTGTCTGGTTTTTTCATTGCTCTCACTTTACTTAGCCATTCAATTGTGCTTGTTGTAAATGATCTAGGCCATCTTATTGTTTCTAGAATTAGAGACAATTGTAAAGCAGTAAAATAATATTTGTATAGTCAATATTTACCCCCATAATACACATTTAAAAAGGCATTTGTTGTTATGGCTGATTCCAATGCGAGATAAGTTGCGCTGGTTGATATTTCAAGGGGCAGGTTAATTAGATCACGGTAGGGAGGTCATCATTTTTCCAGGATTTATGGTTATCATTAGAAGGATTCATATTTTCTCTCTTATGTGGTTTTAAATAGGAGCAAAGAAACCAAAGATAATTTGGGTTCTATAGGGAGTGATAGTGATAGTGATAGCGAAATAAGGAAATAATGGTTGATTTTTGATGTTATTAGAGGAACTGAAATTGAAATAAAAGGAGATGTGTCTTCCGATGATCCCTCGGATATATTTACAAAAAATATTCTGATGAGATCATAAGGAAATAAATTAATTTATAAATTAAAACTTTGAGCTTTATAGGTTGAAGAAATATTTGCCAATATTAATATTTTAAATTCATTTTCATTAGACTTTCCAAAAATAAAATCTCTGTTTTTCAATACAATCATTATTCGTGATTCTCCTTAAATAAAGTAAATAATTGAGTTTATTAGTTGAAACCTCTATAATATAACACAGTTTATATGCAAATATTTATCCAACTCTACCAGAGTCAGGAAGTATTACAAAAATACTATACAGAGAGCATTTATTTGATCTTATTCTCATTTAAATTAAAACTTATATTTGAACTGAAGGTTTCAAGATCCTCAAAACATTGTTAGATATTTTGAAGTTATCCTTTTATTTACTTTTAAATCATCTTGTGAGTTAAATTTCTAATAATTGATTCATTGCTTAATCTTAAAGTTGAAAATAGAGTTATTTTTAAAATTTATTTGTTCATTATCAATCACAATGTAATTTATTAATGAAATAAATTTAATTATTCAACACAACAAATTAGAAATCAAGAAGAATAATAAAATTTTAAGAATATATATTAATGTAAATTTTTATAAAGAAGTATTAACTTTCAAAACCTCTTGTTTCTTTTGCCTCATATTGCTATAATCAATCGATTAATGAACTTAATTTTAATTTAATATTACGAGTTTAAAGGAGGTTAAACCAATTCGTTAAACCTTGTTAAGGATTGAAATAATTGGATTATTTTAATTAATTTTCCTCATCACTTTATGCTTTAGTAGGAATCTTTTAAATATTTTAATCAAGGCAAAGATAATTGGGATGTTATTGGTGTATCAATTTTTTTTCAATCTCAATTTATTCTTAAATTCATTATAACTTATGCATTATCGATTTTCAAATAAATTGAATGATTGAANTTACTTAGCCATTCAATTGTGCTTGTTGTAAATGATCTAGGCCATCTTATTGTTTCTAGAATTAGAGACAATTGTAAAGCAGTAAAATAATATTTGTATAGTCAATATTTACCCCCATAATACACATTTAAAAAGGCATTTGTTGTTATGGCTGATTCCAATGCGAGATAAGTTGCGCTGGTTGATATTTCAAGGGGCAGGTTAATTAGATCACGGTAGGGAGGTCATCATTTTTCCAGGATTTATGGTTATCATTAGAAGGATTCATATTTTCTCTCTTATGTGGTTTTAAATAGGAGCAAAGAAACCAAAGATAATTTGGGTTCTATAGGGAGTGATAGTGATAGTGATAGCGAAATAAGGAAATAATGGTTGATTTTTGATGTTATTAGAGGAACTGAAATTGAAATAAAAGGAGATGTGTCTTCCGATGATCCCTCGGATATATTTACAAAAAATATTCTGATGAGATCATAAGGAAATAAATTAATTTATAAATTAAAACTTTGAGCTTTATAGGTTGAAGAAATATTTGCCAATATTAATATTTTAAATTCATTTTCATTAGACTTTCCAAAAATAAAATCTCTGTTTTTCAATACAATCATTATTCGTGATTCTCCTTAAATAAAGTAAATAATTGAGTTTATTAGTTGAAACCTCTATAATATAACACAGTTTATATGCAAATATTTATCCAACTCTACCAGAGTCAGGAAGTATTACAAAAATACTATACAGAGAGCATTTATTTGATCTTATTCTCATTTAAATTAAAACTTATATTTGAACTGAAGGTTTCAAGATCCTCAAAACATTGTTAGATATTTTGAAGTTATCCTTTTATTTACTTTTAAATCATCTTGTGAGTTAAATTTCTAATAATTGATTCATTGCTTAATCTTAAAGTTGAAAATAGAGTTATTTTTAAAATTTATTTGTTCATTATCAATCACAATGTAATTTATTAATGAAATAAATTTAATTATTCAACACAACAAATTAGAAATCAAGAAGAATAATAAAATTTTAAGAATATATATTAATGTAAATTTTTATAAAGAAGTATTAACTTTCAAAACCTCTTGTTTCTTTTGCCTCATATTGCTATAATCAATCGATTAATGAACTTAATTTTAATTTAATATTACGAGTTTAAAGGAGGTTAAACCAATTCGTTAAACCTTGTTAAGGATTGAAATAATTGGATTATTTTAATTAATTTTCCTCATCACTTTATGCTTTGGTTATATAATAGTGATGCTTCCTAAATTCTACAAGATTAACAGATAAAAGGAAGAAGCTGAATAATTAAGTGAGAAAATGATATGACAAGATCACACCTTTGGAAATTTATGAGAGAAATTGGATAGGAGGAGATGTATAAATAAAAGTAAATTGCTGATTAAAACAGAATTGAAAATGAATAGCTGGTTAGCCAAAAGGAATTTTCAATCTCAAAGATTTCTTTAAAAACTCAGTGAACTGATACTCTATGAAATCTAAGAAATTTATAATAAGAATGATTTATTTTCAGATTTTTAATCAAAAGCCTTTCATAGAAAGACTAAGTTTTTGAATTTTTTGAATCCTATGATATGTCAGCGAGAATTAGTTTCTCTTTGGCTATAAAATAATTAAATACTATTACTTAATTTGATCATAAATATATTAGCACCTTTGAAATATTAAGAGAAGAGCATTTACATAAGGGTATAATAGTTGCTAGCAAATCAAGTTAGCTCTAATGACATCACTTGACTATTTATAATAACTTCACCTACTTTTTTAGCTTTTAGAATATGGTTGTTAGGCAAAATCTTTTTCTATTTAAAGTCAATCCATCAATATTTCTGTCTTTATTATAAGCTTCGGGATTGTAAATAGTTAGTAGGAATCTTTTAAATATTTTAATCAAGGCAAAGATAATTGGGATGTTATTGGTGTATCAATTTTTTTTCAATCTCAATTTATTCTTAAATTCATTATAACTTATGCATTATCGATTTTCAAATAAATTGAATGATTGAAGACTAAATTGGAAAGTTAATAGGATTTCATTGAAATTCATTAAAGCAATCCTATACAATGAAATACTCATTTAGAGTATTTTAGAAAAGTGGATTTATTGTGGTGCAATTTTTAGAACTATAGGTCAGTTCTTTCAGCAAAATAAGTTCTCTTGATCCTAACCATTAATCATATCACGTTATCCACTCGAAATTAATAAATTTAAATTTAGTCAGAAATTCTCTATTTAACCAATAAGATTCAGTATTATGCTTGCTTCGGTTTCTTTGTTTTTGTTATTGAAAATTTATGTTTATAAATGGGAATTGAAATTTGTTAGGTTTGAGAAAGAAATTATATTGATTTATAAAAAGGAAAAATCATATGCTCTTCAAATAAACTCAAATAATCAACTATTATTATCTCTATGATGCATAGCTTTAACAAAATAACATTCCAGATGAAGATAAGTACTTGAACTTTTTGGATTAACTCACCGAATAGACTATATGGATCCTAGACTAAAATTGCTGCAAAATTAATTAAATCAATTAAAGGCAAAGTAAGCTTAGACCTCAGGTTAAAATAAGGCAATCAGTAAGAAAAACTTGCTGACTCATAAAGAGGAATCAAAAAGAGTTTCATTTTTAAATTAATAAGTAAACCTAATTTGCTATTTTATATGTTTATCATCAGCATAGAGGCATATGGATTTTATAAACATTAAATAAGAGTAAAATTGTTTGCATTGTTTAGCCCTAGATAAGGTTTACGAAAAAGTATATTCTGAGCTTTTAACAAAACCATAATTAGCAGGAGTCCTTTATACATTTTGGATCACTGTGATTATCTATTTAGAATTAATTGAAGGTAATTCCTTTACACATTCAGATCTTGTCAGTTTAGTTCTTTTCTTTAAGTAAGTTATATCTTTATAAAATTAGATCTAGAGTCTTAATTATTGAGATTGAGCTTTAAAGAGAGTATGGCAGATATAATGAAAGCCCCTTAGATTCCATCTTAAAGGTTTGTTTCTATCATTATTTTTGAAACTGCACTTTAAGAATGATTAAGTAGACGGTTCACTCATCTAGAATTAGTTCGGTTAGAGACAATTTCAATTGGGCTAAATGATAATGTTGAATCAGAAATGGGTAAAAACATTAATTTATAGTGGCAATTCTTAATCCGTTTTCATTAAGGATCTCTTCTTTAAAGATAAACCACTTTTTTCTTTTCTCTGGAACCTTTTTGAAAGGATTTTCTAAATAAAGGCTTGAATTTAGGATTTGATTTTTTTTAATTTACTCTGACCTTCTTAATTTAAGACTGAAATGAGTAGAGACTCTTTCACAATCTTGATGTTGACCATTTTCAAGCAACATCTTTTATAATTAAGGAGATCCTTAGCTTTAGGAAATTGCAATATTGAGAATTTTTACTATAATTTATCTCCTTGACTAAAGTTCTTCTTAAAAACATCTATCGTTGCTTTTCTCCTCTTAGACTGCTTGTAGAGATTACATACAAATCAATACCAGAGATTTCTTCCATTCTAGATGTTTAGAGGGAATACAAAAGCTTTTAAAATAGGCTAAAAGATTATGCGAAGTGTTTAAAAAAAGAAAATTCCACCCTAATATATGTATAACTATTCTATTGCTCTAATATAATATAATAAGTTTAAAATAAGCTTTAGATCTTTGTAATGACAATCCTCAATCAGTAATGTTCCTCAACATTATTAGAATAGTATTATCACTAATCCCCTTGATTCTGAGGATGTTTACACCATAAATTTGGGAATAGTTTAGTTTTACTTTTTTAGTCTGACCTACTCAAATGAGGATGAGAACTTCAGCCTATTTCTTTGGGGTATATCTCTTTCTAATAGTATTTAAACTGAATTTTTTTCATTGATGTCGCAATTAATTAACACTAATTTTTGTGTGAATATAATCGTGGGTATTTATTTGAAGAATTGTATT